AGGGAAGAAGATGCAACTGTCTTCGCTTCCATAAAAACAGACAGCCTCGGAAACCTGACAGATGGTGCTACTCTGACCTGCAGAATGACAGATCAATTCCATGGCAACGGATTGGGCTTTGCGCATTTTTTACCAGGGAGGTGAGCACCGGTGGGGAACTCTTGTCATTAGGTGTCACCCAGGTAACTGCAACTCACAGTGGCCTATTAACAACAGACGTGAACTGTGCCCTGGGCTGAGCCATCCTTCCGGTCTCTGATACGACCCATTGTTACAGTCACCATGTCAGTCATCTCACTGAGGGGCACACGTTCCTTCACTCTCCACCTTCCCCAGTACGGTCTCCTTTACCAAGAACTGGTCCCTCCTGATCGCATCATGCCCAAAGGAAGTAGCAATTCTTCCAAGACAAATGTATTTGCTCTTTTGCCAGACCACAGGATGTCAACACCACAATTCAAAGGTATGGATTTTCCTTCACTCATCCTTATTTATTGTCGAACATTCTGATGCATATGAAGTAATTGAAAATACAATGGCTTGGATCAAATGCACCTTCCTCTTTAAAATTATACCCTTGCTCTTTGGCACTTTGGAGAAGTCCTTGACAGCAGATTTTCCCACCACAATATGCCTTGTGATTACCTGACTGATGCGACCATGGATGCTGATTGTGGATCCAAATAAAACTGAATCTTTGGAAAGACTGAAGGTGGGGAATGAGACACCAATATCCACACAAACCCTAACATTCTTTACAGAAAATACGAATACTGGCCCGAAGAGGTTTCAAAGGTAAACCCAAGTCCTTGCTTTACAAAGGTGGGCTCAAGAAGCAGCGAGGGACAGTGACACAAATCAGCACAGGTTCTAAAGTAAAGAGTCACAATCAGAATCCTTTCAACTGTGCTCCTGTCCTCTTCACACGTCACCTCCACGATGTCCCTATTCCTGAACACTAGAGCACCCACTGTCATTTCAAAACAATAGGCCCATCATAGCAGTGCCCTCCACAGTACCTCACTGTCACAGTACCTCACTGTCGCAGCACCCCACTGTCGCAGCACCCCACTGTCACAGCACCCCACTGTCACAGCACCCCACTGTCACAGCATCCCACTGTCACAGCACCCCACTGTCACAGTACCTCACTGTCACAGTACCCCCAAGGATGAAGGAGGAAGCAGGTCATTTGCTCCATCTCACAAAGGTTAAGACTGAGGCACAGAGAGGTGGGAAGACTTGCTCAAGTTCCCCGGCAAACTGACTATACACACTCTTGGTATGGACAAGGGGAAGGAACCTGGCTGAGAATTTGCCTTTCTCTTCCAGACAAAAGCAGCTCTGGTGGCTTACTGGTAAGGAACTGGCGCTGGCAATGCAAAGGTACGCAGTTCAAATCCATCAGCTGCTGTGTGAGAGAAAGATGAGCAATTTCCTCCCGTGTAACTTACTGCCTCTAAAAACTCGCTGGAGGGTCAGCTACAGGTTGGTCACAACTTAACAGTACACAACAACCACCACCACCCCAGATCTGGTAGCATAGTATGTAAGGAGATGTGCTGATAACTCAAAGGTGCTATCTATCAGTCTGGCAGTTCAAATCCACCAGCAGCTCCCTATGAAAATGATGCACAATCTTCCCCAGTGTGATTTACAGCTTCCTGAAAACCTGCTAGAGGGTCAGCTATCAGTCAGTTCCAACGTGATGGCAATGATTTCGAGTTTCAATCTCAGATAAACGGAATCAGAATCTATGTTTTAACAATGTCTTTTGGAGACTTAATTACCCAGGTATTCATACAAAGGGCTAACACACCACATAATCTCCAGCCTCCACGACTCTGAGACCAGAAGGACTAGATGGTGCCCAGCATCCCCTTCCACTGGCTCTCAAAGGGACTACAATAACAGGTCTTTCCTAGAATGAGAGAAATGTGGAGCAAAATTCTAAATCACAACAAAGAGACCAAAGCCCAGGTTTTCTGGTCTGATAGAGATTGATGGAAACCCAGAGATTGTAGCCTTTTTAGCCTCTGGCTTGATTTTCATGGAGAGAGTGAATAGGTATCTAAGGCATCGGGTTGCTAGCTGAAATATGACATTCAAATCCACAAACAGCTCCACTGGAGAGAGACAGGCACCATCCTTCCATAAAGACTTACAGCCCCAAAATCCAGGTGGGTAAGTATCAATCAGAGTCAACACCAACTTGAGGGCAGTAGGTTCAGGATTTTCTGGATGGATGAAGTGAACAGTAACACCAGGAAGACAAATACTTCCTAGAACCACCAAGAGAAGAAGCCAAAGGTCATCCTCTGCCCAAAGAGAAAGCTCAGGAGGCAAGAAGGGCTCAGAAAATGGGATAAATGAAGATGGGAAATACAAGGAAGAGACGGGAAGAGTGCTACTACATTGTGAGGTTATAATCAATGTCATGACTCAAAAATGTGCTATTCCACGACTTGGAATATATCCTGAGAAAGCGAGAACTGAGGCACAAACTGAGATTTTTATACCAATGTTCACAGCAGCATTATTTATCATTGCAAGAACATGGAAACAGACCAAATGGCCAACCACAAATGAATGGATTGAAAAATTATGGTACATTCACACAATGGAATACTATGCAGCACACAGGAGCAATGATTTTGTAAATTACCTAACCTGGGAGGGACTGAAGAGCATTATGCTGAATGAACTCAGCCCCACAAGGACAAATATTGTATAAACCCATTATTGTAGAATGAGTATAAGGATCCAAGCGGGGTGGGAGAGGCTGGAAGCAGAGCGATGAGGATGTAGGGGGGGAGGGGAATTAATCATGGGGTTGTACAATTTGATGTGTGTGGGGTGAGGGAAATTTGTTCTTGAAAACAATGCATTCGAATTTTGTAAATAAACTAGTGGGGGGGAAAGTGCATGAACTGAAGAGACAATCCATTTGTTCTGTAGACTTTCACATAAATCACAATAAAAGGTTAAAAAATATCACTTGATTATCTTGTAAAAATGGAGACTTTTTTCTTATTCCCTATATCTAGGGTGGAAATGCATATTCCCAGCAGAAAGTCAAACTATAATGAACTCATTCAAAAACATACTGAAAGAGGCAGTGCCCTGGAAATGGGTTTCTTGACTAAAGAAAGGAATCACCTCAGCCTGCTATTCGGCCCTACGCTGTGCTAGTATTGCGGTATGTGCAGATGCTAGAAGATGTGAAGTCTGGCGCCCTTCTTTCCTGCCTCCCCAACCATCACATTTTGGGGAAAGGACACGGGGAAGACAGGCAGGCGCTTCTGTCAGGGTTCAGGCCAGTTCTATGAACCGGGGACACCACCTACCAGGTCAAGTCGTAGTTTCCTCATCTATAAAAACAGGGATAATAAATTCTTCTCTGTCAACGTAACGATGACGGTGTGAGGTGCTGATGACGAAGAGAAAGTATGAGGCAGGGAGACTCAGTCACAGAGAAAGCAACTGTCCTGTGCTCCCCCTCACCTCTCAACTCCTCCCACAGAGCACCTGCTTCTACCTGAGCAGATGGCATGAGGCTCAGGAAGGTCTGACCCAAGACAACAGACGAGAAAGCCAACAAACATCAACACTTCCCAACAGTCCACAACACTTGTGCATGGCCTGTTTGCCCCAAGAGCTTTGCCAGTTATGCCAATACATCTATTAAGTTCTCTGTGCCAGGCACTATCTGAAGGCTTCTGTGTGCCCTCTTGCATTTCGTTCTTGAAGCCTCTCCTTTTACAGACAGCAAAACCCCCCAGGCTCAGAGGTTATGAGCTAGTAGGTGGAACTATGAAAGAATTCGGTTCTGTGCAGGCCAGTGGTTCCCAGAAGTAAAGTGCTCTCCAATCACCTGGCAAGATTCACCAACAATGCAGGTGCTGACTCTGCGGGTGGCGAGCGAGGCCAGGGTATGTGCATTTCTTGCACCCTCCTGAGTAATGCATTGCAATTTGGTTAGGAAGGGCTCAATTTTTCATTTCATTAGGACAGAGACTGTGTCGCCCAAGCCCCAGGGTTCACCACAGGGACCGGCCCATGGAAGGCGCCCAATTATTATTTATTGCATGAGTCAATGAATGCCTGACTTCAAAGACCACGCTTTAACACTTCAGTGGAGTCTCAATGCCCGTGGAGCTTGGTACACAGGATCGTCCCCACTTGACAGGGAAATAAAGGATCAAAAGAGAATGTTGTTGTTGCTGGTATGACCTTAAGTTGAACTGACCGATAGCTGACCCTCAGAGGCAGTAAACTGCAAAGGAAGAGCTTGTCCATCTTTCTCCCGCAGGGCAGCTGGTGGATTCGAACCACGTACCTTCGCGTTGGCAGCGCAACTCCTGACCACTAAGTCACTAGAGGGCACCGTAGTCCCTAAGCAGGTGGTCTAAGGTCTTACAGCTTCTGCACACCCGCGGCGGGCAATCAACCTTCAAATCCTTGGCCCTGACCACAGCTGTCCCCCAGCACTGCGGGTGGGAAATTAATGATTACAGACAGCCGGACGAAGGGGAGCAGGGCCCATCCCGCCATCTGACCGGCTCGCAGCTCCGGAGGTCACCCAGGGGCTCCCTCCTACTCCCCCTCAAGGTCGGAGAGAAGGGGGCTAAGCTCGGCGCGCCCCATCCCACTCCGCCCTGGAGCGAAACGCAGAGGCTAAGAGGTGGCGAGCGGGCACAAAAGCCAGCCCCAGCGAGCAGGTGGCGGGGTGACCCCCTGGCTGACCTCGAAGAGCCAGCCAGGCCCACGCACACCCCGCTGTCCAGCCCGCGGGCTGGGGCCCGAGGCGCCCAGGGCAGCTGCCGCCGTGAGATGAATCACCCGCACATGACCCCACAGGGGAGGGGCGAGGGGTGCGCACAAGCGCGGGACGCGGCCGGGCTGGGGGCGCACGCACCCCGCGCCCCAACCCCTCCGCCAGGGTGTGGGGGGACGGACACAGCCCCCGGCCCGCCCGCGCGGCGCCCGCCGGCACTCACGGCCTTGAGCTGCTCCAGCCGGTCCTTCATCCTGGGGTCGGGGTCCGGGGAGCGAGTCCCAGGGGAGTGGACGGAAGTGGCGGCCGCGCCGGCCCGGACCTGGGAGCTCGAGCCGCAGGCGGAGGCGGGCGGCGGCCGCTCGAGGAGGAGCGTCCGAGGCCGCCGAGGCTCCGCCGCGCCGCCTCCTCCGGCCCCGCCGGCGCCGCGAGCTCCAAATCCGGCTCCCGGGACGAGTCGCGCAGCGCGCACCCGCGGGGCCCGCCCCTCACCTGGCCGCGCCCGCGCTCCTTAAAGGGACCGCAGCCCGGGCGCGCGCACACCTGGCCGAGCTGAGCAGCGCGCACCCGCAGGACCTGCCCCTCACCGGGACTTGCCACTCACCTAGCCGCGCCCGCGCTCCTTAAAGGGGCTGCTCTCCGGGAGCGCTCACACTAGGCCCAGCTGCATAGCGCGCACCCGCGGGGCCCGCCCCTCACCTGGCCGCTCCAGCGCCTCCTTAAGAGGCCGCAGCGAGGGCGCGCGCACACCTGTGCCGGCTGCGCACCACCTGGGCGCCGGAGCCTCCCTCGGAAGAGCGAGTGGGTCTCCCAAGCCTACGTATCCCACCTTTTCCGTAGCTCAGCCATCACGCGTGCCCTACCTGCACCGAGCCCAGCGCTGGGATCCACCCTCGGACTTGTGCAGGAACGGCGCTCCGTGAACTTGCAGCTCTGTTGTTTGTTGTTATGTGCCGTCGAGTCGCTTGCGACTCATAGCGACCCTATGTACAACAGCCCTAAACTCTGCTCTGTCCTGTGCCAATCGCA